AGGCTCTAAAACTAGCAAAACTGTATGTCACAAGCTGATACATTAAATGCAAATCAAATATTCTCACAGGAAACTACAATGTGGAAGAGAGTGAGCAAGTGGAGACGCCTTGTCCTTGGAGTTAGCTCACTGCATAGCTAATTTATAGAGAGAGGCTCACATGGATCTTCTCGAGGAGTCAAAGCTGTGCTCCTGAGAATCCAGCTTTGTCCTTAGCAGGACAAAGTTCAGTGAACTGCTATAATCTGTATAAGAAAATAAGCTTGGCTGGAAAATAACTTGGAAGGTTTCCTTTGTGGGAAGCACTGAGATGAAAGACTACTGTATTTTTTCAGAAGCATTTTAAATCCTTCAAAAGAATGGGCACAGCAAGAGGGTAAGAAGACAGACACTATTAACTGGCAAGCTAGATACACAGAGGAGGAATAATGTCAAAGATTAGTACAAATATAGAAGTCACACCTACTAGATTTCAACACATTCACAATGGCAGGACTACTGAATATTTTTTAGAGAGAAAGTATGTTGCAGACTTCAGTCCCACTCCTCCTCTTTAATCCCAGGCAACAGAGATCTCCTAGCACTGAGTAATGGACAATTTTGCAGAGGATAAGAGACACACCAGAGAGATGCAAACATGGTTCAGAGTAGAGATGCTTTATGTCCCTTTATGCCCTGGGAGGACAGACACTGCAGCGGGATTGGGTCGTGCAGCATGACCAAACACCCCTTCTGGTGCTGCAAAATGGAAAGCAGACACTTGAATTTGTTACCTGTCACTGCTTCAGAGCAGCTCCTCTATCTGTTTGACTGGAAGATAAGAATATGCATGTGCATGCATGCACACGTGAGATCCCTTTCATCATGGGGTGAGCTCTGCTAAAATGTGATCTAACCTGAATTACAATGTAAAAATCCTCAGTCTCCCTACCTTTATTATCTGCTTTTTTAAGAATTTGAGATTTTTTGTAATGTTTTTACATATATTCAGTAGTCATTGAGGTGTGTATTTTTTCCATTTGCTTTTCAGATTTCTAATATAGAGTAATTGCCTGTTTTGTCTTCTAAAAACTTAAATTTAGAAATTTTAATGAATACCTAAAACATTAATAAAGAGTACAGACATGCCTGTGCCTGTTTTTTCCTTTCCATTTTCTAGGTTGCACTGCAGAAAGAGCAGGATCAAGGTCTTCAAAGAACAAGGCTGATTAAACTGAAAACTATTTTTTTATAGTCTACTCCTTTTGTAATCTAATAAAACTTTTAAAATCTGTGCTAGACACAAGGAATATATCAAGGAGAAAAAAGATCAAAACTAAAAGGGTTGGATAAAATGTGTTTTCAAGCAATTTTATATGTTTTACATCAGAGGCAAATCAGAGAGTTTTTTTAACTTGGTATCACCTCGTGGTCTGAGCAAGTGCTCAGTGCCCCAGCAGCCTCATGCACCTGCAGCTTGGGACACTTCTGCTGTCCTGGAACACAAAAACTAGATTTCCTCAGTTTGCTGGGCAAGAGAAAGATGGGGCTGAAGTTCTGGTCTAGCTTGCCATCTCCATAAGGAGGGAAGCACGTGAAAGCGTGGAAGGAAATGCAGCAGCTGATGCAAGGCCATTGAAAAGCAATTTTCATGAGGCTGACACTAGGCCAAGAAACCACCAAATGCCAGACACAGGGAGCAGCTGAAATGGGTTGTACACTGTTGATAATTATATTCTCTATGGCAATGTTGCCTGTACAATTTGAAACAAAAAACCCTAAAACTGACTGATGTGAATAAGCTCAAGAGGTAATTTTTGAAGTAATAGCTTTAGAAGCTACTAGTTGCTACAGATTAATCAGCTGTATACAAATGAAATTTTAACCAGGAAAAATCACAGATTGAAGATACCTAACCATAAATAAACATTGGTGTTGAAGACTTAGCATGAAGTAATGTCTGATTTATAGATTATTGAGTGCAATATCATCACAAATGGGAAAGTAATGAAAGAGAACAGTTAAGCATCGAGGGAAAACCAGATAAAATGAAAACCAGTAAAATGTGTAGCAAATCTGGTTAATGAAGAGGGCTAACACCAATATTCTACATTGATGACAGAAAGAAAATTATGTAAACATGAAGAGAATGCTCCCTGTATCTTCTTAGCCTCATGAAGTTCTTTTAGAGAATTAACAACTAATAGCAAAGTAATGCATCAAAGATTAAAAAAAAAAAAGTGTTTATTTTAAAAGTCAAAGAGGTACAGAAAACAACTTAGTTCTTTGTAAATATGAAATATGAGTGATGAATATGAATGAAAAAAAGAAAGACCAAGGATAGCAGGAGAAGGCAATAGATATATCAGCTCAGTAAGATGCATTAAAACTTGACCACTTTGTTTTTACATCTCAAGGACAGCAAGTTTTTCTATAAAAGGTGTGGCCAAATTAAAACTTTAAACTAGTGATGTATGACAGATGTACTTGACCCCTTAACCAAACTATCAGTAATTTGGTACTGGCTCCAACAAAAGTAATGACCTGAGCTGTAGCCAGGCCAAGAACTCCTCTAGAAACTCCCAAAGGGGCAGAGTGACCCAGGGAGCACTGATGCACATGGGCTTGGAACATGGATTGTGTGAGTAATGCATGAATAGCAGGTGGCTTTTCCAAGGGTCTCTCATCAAAGAACTAAGAAGGCTGTGGGTACAAGGAGGTTCATGCATACCCTTCCTCCTGTATTATTTTGACTATAAGCCAACCACTCTATCCCATAGCTTTGACAGCCTCAGGGCTTTGAGCTCTCCCTGCTGGGCAGTGTGGCTGCACCGCAGTGACTTCCCCTAGCCCTGGGATAATTCTCAGGAGTCGAGACAGAGACCTTTCTACAAACAACCAATCTTTGGATGAGTCCAATTCATATTCTATAATCTGCAACTGGGCTGCACAGCAGTGACTCTCCCCTGGATCTGGGACTTCTCTCAAGGACTGAGATTCCTTTCCTGAGACTAAGAAATCCTTCCTTACCCAAGGCAGAGAAACCCCATACTTATGGATCCTTGGTAAGTGGCTGGTAGCATGCAAAATAAATATTGATGAAATCCGTGTAGTTAATTCCTTTAGACATATGCCATTGTCCAAGTCTGAGACTAAGTCTGGACCTAGCCACAGCTAAGCTCCATCAGGACTTTAGAAAGCAAGGGGGTCTGCTCAGAAACTCATGACCCATTGATTCATGACTACCTTACCCTTTGGCTCTTTGGTCAATGTGTAAATAATTTGAAATAGATTTGAACTTGATTTTCCTTTGTATAATGTACTAAAATGTATAATGTAACTAATAGAGTCAACCTTGCCATTGAACTTGATTAAGATGCACTTTTATAAATTCATAGTAAACCTACTCTTGTTAATTCCTCTGACAGTGATTCTTTGATCTGAATCACTCATTTGTGACAAACTAGTGCAATTGGCAGGATCCTAAATCAGGATCCACGACATAATGCTATAACTGTTTATGGCTATTAAAATGGTTTTCAAAGTGAACAAAATAAATATATTCCTTTGAATTTGTGAATAGCCTAGAACAGAAGACTAAAAAGTAGGAAGGAGTAAGCAAGAACAGCATTGACCATTTTAGCCAGTTACCCCTGGCTGCTGGATGTGTCACAGACAGAGGTGCCAAGCACAGCATGAAGTGCATTTTGTGCCTACTTTAAGAATTGCCAAATTCCCCTCCCCATACTGTCAAGTCACGCCGTGTGAAAGAGAAAAGGAGGATCTTTGCCTTCATCTTAGTGCCATAAACTGCCAGAGCACTGACTTGCTTTCCAGCCTGTCTCTGGTAGACTGCCCCTCCTTCTTGACAGAGCTTTCCAGTTTCTTTGTGACTGTTTCATTATTCATAGCCAAATGCAAACATCAGACAACTTACAAGATTAATGCAACAATAAACCAGCTTAGCCAGTTATAACTGAACCTCTGAACTGCACCACTTAGTTTCCTTCATGCATAACTCAAATACTTGTTTTTAGGCTGCTGTAGAAGTTCACCCTGTTGTGAAAGTTGCAACTGAAGTGCCACTGCAAGAGCCTTCTGTAACCAAATGTCTTCAGCGACACCAGTTGAGCTTGCAAAGTGTTTAGGGAGTATAAAGAGGAGCCATGGAAATAGGAGTATTAAACAATACCCATGTCTTTGTTACTTGCACTACAGTGTTTATAGCTGGTGTAGCATCACCTGTTTCCTTCAGAAGTAGGAAAAGTAGTTCAAAGCACATGTTACGGGTAAAGAACTCAAAAGAGAAGAAAAAAAAATGTATTTAACCATCTTTTTTCATTGTTGTGTGGTAACGCTACTTAGAGCATGAGAAGCAGGTATTTCCAAATTCTGTTTAAAAATGTCATAAATTTTAAAAAAATGTTCATTTGTTGTGCAGACACATCTCTTAAAGCAAACTAGCTTAATTTGGGAACTAAACTCAAAAAGATTAGGCTTTAGGAACTAATTGCCCCTTGCCATTCCTCAGCTATGGCCTTTACCAAGTACTGTCTCTAAAGGAATTCACAGTATTGAGTATGTGCATTTAAAACCATACAAATTATTAAAATTATTAATTAATAAAATTATTATAAGCCATTAAAAATGAGAGTTAAAAATCCCTAATGTATCATGTTTACAACTGCAATTCAGAATGTTGGGGTTTTTTTTGCTTTTGCAAAACCTGCCATACATACAAAGGGCAAAGGCACAATTTAAACTGTAATCCAGGTACCTCAAAGCTTTACTTTATTTGCAGGTGATTTATAGCATAAACCCAAACAACTTACAGATCAGTGTATCCTACTGTGTTTTTAGATAACTAGCACACTTCTGTGAAATGTATTGCAGGTTTTGTTCCTTTTTGTCCTTCCCATTTAGACACTGCAGGAGCAGCTCACAATCATTTAAGAAAATTACTAACTCTCCCCCTAAATAAGAAATGTAAACAGCTGGAATGCATTACTATTGATACTCACTTGATATAATACGGCACTTTGTTTGGTGAGATTGCCCTCTCCCAGGGGCCTTGGACAGAAGCTGTTAACAACAAACAAACAAACAAATAAATAAATAAATAACTGCTCACATACATTCATACATACCAACATACCTGGAAGAGAAACGTGGAGGTCAAACAGGAAAGACAACATTAATCTCTAGAATTACAATTTTACACTCGGCCACGTTGATATAGGTCTGTTTGCTCAGTTGCCCATGAAGGCAGGAAGGATTAACCTGCTGTTCTGAAACTTCTGTCCTAATCTGAGAGAAATTGAACTCATTCAGCTGCAAAGATAAATACAAAAACTCCTTGAAAGCTAAGCTTACAGAACAGATATGAAGCAGACCGAGCAAGCTATCTTTCCGGCATGCTCTTTTATAGGATTCCTCCTGCTAAAGTGTTTGACTGAAAGAAGAAATACTTCTATTTCTTTCCTTGTGTGGTCAGCACTTCCCATCCTTCCAAGAACACAATTATGTACTTGTTTACATTTTATGTTGAGTCAAGTTACAGATAAGAGATCATCTAAGTATTTCATTTGTTGCTATTCTCTTCCTGACTTGTTCTAAATGGTGAACATTTTTATTTTCTCCACATTACAGTAACTATTACAATTATTACTATTGTAATAATTGTAACCTGCCTTCCAAATAATGGAGAAAATAATAGTATGATCACAACAAATAGAGAGGAGATAACTTTGCCCGCCCTTGATTATCACAGTGTTAAATGCCAACATCAATTTACAACACAATGAAAATATTTTGTAAAAGAGGTTTTTATAAAACTCATTTGACAAAAGAATTATAAATTATTTTTTTTAGAGGCAGAGATAATTTATAGTTTAGGCCATAATCAGGGCTTAAATAATTTTTTTTATTAGGAGCTTGTTATCTGTCAAACAAAGTAGAACCAAGAATTTTCTTCCTTTAATATAATGATTAAAAGAAAAGATATGAAAAGTGACCTAATGGAGAAAAAAAAGTCTGTTTGCTTCACCCAGTATAACCCTTCTTTTTAGTGACCCCTGCTGTTCACAAAGGAAAGAAATTGTTACCAGGACAACAAGGAATTAGCTTCTTGACCATTTGGCTCTATTTTCTTTCCCTCTCTTACTCAGAATAGATGCACCATTCCCACTTTATCAAAATCAACAAATTACAATCCACACAAATAATAACTACCAAAATACATATTCAATCTATTTTGTACCAGATTATAGAAGTCAGTCTGTAGAATGAAGTATAGTTTCTCTCTATCGCCCACATATTGGAGTGTGTGGAAATAAGAGCTTGAGGAAAGAGATGAAATGTGCTCCTCAAATGGCTGTGTAAGGAAATCTTGCTACTTTTGCACATGAATTGTGAAGAAGGGCTGGAGGGAGACTAGTGACTCCACAAAGGAGACAAATATCAGCTGTGGGAGAGACTGGTGCCATTACAGACAGTCTGAAGAGGAGAAGGAAGAGCTGGTGAGGACAGGATACAGGCTGGGGTGAGGGTGAGTGAATTTCATATCAATTTAGGACAATGCTAAGAAGGTAGGGAAAGGAAGGACTTTATTTGGAAGAAAGAGAATCGTAGAATGCTTAGGGTTGGAAGGGACCTTAAGGATCATCTAGTTTCAATTTGCCCACCAAGGGCAGGGAACCTCCTGTTAGGTCAGGTTAATCAGAGCTCCATCCAGCCTGATCCTGAACACCTCCAGGGATGGGGAGTCCACAGCCTTCCAGTGCCTTGCCTCTCTTGCAGTAAAGAATTCCTTCCTAACACCCAATGTCAACCATCCTCTTTCATTTTAACGCTGTTTGCCCTTGTCCTATCAAAACATGCCCTTGTGAAAAGTCTCTCTCCATAAATATGATAATTCTGTTTCAGATTGCTGGTGGCCAAGGAATTCCAAAAATTCTGCCTCAACATCTCTGCACATTCTGCTGTCGTCTTCAACCCCCAGCCAGACATCTGTAGGTAAGCTGAGTGTGATTGCTTTCCTATTATTTACATTTACACATTCATGTTCTTAAAAGAAGAAAAGTAAATTTCAAAGATATGAACCATAAGAAGGAGTGACTCTCAAAATCTGCAGGAAACAGAATTTTAATTACAGTGTTAGATCTCTTGGAAAACTAGCACACTGCACTGCCATTGAAGTCTGTAGAATGGCCATGAACACAGGAACACAAAACCCTATGCACTTTCAAATACAAATACTGAAATATACACTTAGTTTATATATGATCCAATACTCCTTCTGGGGCCAGGCACTGGCCTTTGGTTGTGTGTTTGTGGGCTGCACAGCTGAGGAGCTGTGAAGGCCAAGGCTGCTGTCCATTGAGGTACCACGAGCTGCAGCTGCTCGGCTTCAGTGCTCTGCTGCAGCCTCAAAGGAGGTAAAGATATGTCTGTTATGTGATTTGTAGAATTGCAAAATGTAACAAGAATAGAATATCATGTAATGTTTTGATGTTAAAAATCTCCAAATAACTTTTAACCCCATTTTCAGGCTCATACAAAATTTTTAACCATTATGCTTAAATATTCTTTCTACTTGTAAGAAAACAAACTGCTATAAACACAGTTTTGATGACTGATCCAATATTCTCCATTCTAGAGAATGGAGAAGTAGTAGGAGACAAAGCAGTAGGAGACAAAAGCCAAGGAGTTAGAGAGAGATCACTATTTAATTTTACACTATCAGTTACTAAGTGATTTCTTTACATGCTTTCATTCAGTAATACTAACCTAATGTGCACTAATATGTGGTCCACCAGCCAGTTTTAAAATGCTTACTCAGTGACAATTGTAAGGGCTCTTACCCAAGGCAATTGGCATTGTCTGAGGAATAATTTGAATTAGATTACACTAAGTTATCATTTTTGAAAACAAAATACCCTTCAGTATTAACTAAAAATTGACCTTGTTACATTTTTCTCTCCCAAGCAATCATTAATATTCCCAGTGGGAATACTACCAAGTTACAGCTGTTCCACTTTTAAGATTTGTTTTTAGTTCAATAGCTAAAGGACAGAATATACTGCTGTGTATTTTTCAGAAGATGTATTTCTTCTGTTTCTTCTGAATTAATCTGGGTAAGAGCTTTGCAGTCATAACTTATTATCACAGAATCTTACATATGATAGTGTTCTTGATCCATTAGAAGAGGAACAAATACTTTTGCTTTCATGAGAGCTAAGTGCTATAGGAATAACAAACAATTCTGTGATGTTCTGCATAATTGGATTTAGTATTCCTTCAAGAGGTTGCTGTGAAGCTGTCTATAATACACTTCTGGTTTCCTGGATGATTCTAACCTTGCATAAATTTGAGTTGACAAAATGTGCAGTACTTTTTACAGCTATACATAGAGAATAATCATTTTGTTTCTGGCAGAAGCCCAGAAGCTGAGACCAGATGTTTCTTATCTTTGGTTATCAGTACAGGTTTACTATCCATTACAAAACTAGTGCAGGTAAATGGTTGAGTCCACCTAAAAGTCTTGCTAGCAAAGACTTTTATATACATATGCTCTAGTATCCCAGTGTGCTACAACACTCAAGAAGCAGACATTTCCTGTTTGCTGAGAGTAATTCCAAACTGTTTTATTGCTTGAGCTTGCACAGTGTAAGAACCCATTACAATACACCCAGCTACTTTCAATGCTGTGGCTGAAATTAAACACTACAGCGAAATACAGGGCATTTTAAGAGTGAATTTAAATTTCCCTACACTTTATTTGCATTGACATACATTTTAATGGTTACCTAATTTTTGAGTTTCATTTCTTTCTGTAGGTGTTCTAAGAGCTGGGACTTGTTTTGCCTGTGAACACAGTTCTTGATGGTAAGCCGACATTCTTACTTGTTGGGAGAATGTATAATGAAATGGTGGCATGCTGGGTCTCTGAACTTCAGTACTGTTTTAATCTATGCAGGGATCTGGATGAAATATTAAATAGGATGATAGTATTTGATACTACAAAAAATAATCTTATAAATATTTCACTTTAGCACTGCAAACATAATGAAAAATACATGTATGTTTACCAATGGTAAACTATTTCTTCTTCAGCTATTCAAAGAGTAAATTTGGTATGTCCACATTTAAATGTTACTCTCAGTGGTCCTTATTTAAATAGTCAGCACAGACTTTTAGTCACCATATGAGTGTACTTTTTCAGTTATAAATTAAAAAATAATTTTGGACTTAATTTTCACTAAGGGGATTTGGACAGAAACCACAAAGAAGCATTGTTTAGTGTCCATACATTGTTACATATATTCTGTCATATATTTTTTTTCTCACTTTGTTAGAAATTTGTTATATTTATTGTATATTCCTTTCAGCATCATGGTAGTTAAAGGTGAGCTCATTTTTACATTCCCACTATCTTGTTTGGTGGCCATAGTGTCTATAACTCAGCAAGGTGCTGAATTATATTCACATTTCACATTTTAATGATAATAATTCTCTGATTCGGCCTGGAAATTCTATGTGCATGACCTGTGTGACTTACACTGTTCTACCTAGCATTATTATCATTAATACCTTCATAAAAACAAAGAGTTAAGAAACTGTTTATTCATTCACATAAGGTTTGTTTTGATGCCAATTATTTTCACTGCAGCAAGGTATGGACTTCAGATAAAGGCAGCAAGGAGAAAAAAATGATGAGATGATCTTTGCATCAGGAAAAGACTCTGATTCCCCAAGAATCAGAATTTCCCATCTGTGTAATTTTTCAAAGAAAATTCATTGAGTACTGCATTTTGACTATTTTCATATGACACCATTGCAAATGAGAAAATATTGCTCTCCAGAGACTATAAGGAGGTCATTTCCTCCTTAGAGAACGTGCTAAAGCAATATTTCCCCACCACAATCAGTGCATGATGCAGGCTGGCAGGATGCCACCTCCAAAAGGTGTATCTGTGTGGCAGTGACACAACAGAAGTGTTTGCATAACCTGCAAGCTCTTTGAGATCCTTTGCAACAAAAGTCACTACACACCTGTAAAAGATAGGTTTTTTCCACCAAAG